CATACTCCCTCTATACCAGGAATCTTCGCTATGACTGGAGGCCAGGAAAGTGGACGGTGTCAGAGTTTCTAAGGCAGCTCTGCACAACTCAAAGATTTCCTTAAATTGGATCAATCTGGTCCAATGTATTTAGCCAATTCCTGCAAGTGATGAAATTATACATACTTTGAAGAGTGGGATTTGATTAATCATATATGACCAGAAAACATACCGCCTTGTGCTGTGATCCTGGAAGATTTCAGAAACTAAGCAGCACTGGGATGGATAGGGGACCTCCAAGGAAGAGCTCAATGCTGTTGGAAGTGGTGTTGCTGATTCAATAGGTGGTGCTCTTTCCTCTAGTTCAGTGCTGAGCCTAGAACCCAACATGGTGTTAAGGGGAACTGTGATGTTTTCACATAAGTTACAAAGTTTAGGTCTTCATCACTTGTGGTCAATTATGAGCCCATGGTTTGTGCATGATTTCAACATAGGCAAGAAGAATATAATTGCCCATGTCAGAATTTGATCTGCATAGTAACCCTCACTGGCAAAACCACATTCTGAGTTGAGCAATTACTTTCAGCCTATCTAAATTCTTGGCTGCAATTTCAACTGAATTCACTGTTTTTCTTCATATTTCTTCCTGCATTGCTGTGTTGTGTTTCTGTGCACTGTTAAACAGCTGTCACATTCCTACCCAGAGATGATTATATTTCGCTGGCAGGCTATTTACCAATATGTGCATATTCTTTACCTACTTCACAGCGGTGTTGGTTGTTTGTAAAACACAGAATCTTTGGCCACACACAGTAGTGTGAAGTCTAGCTATTTTAAAATTACTTTCCCCTTGAATCTTATGGAGCTAATATTGCTGTTCTCCAGTAGACAAGAGCCATGTGGAAATGAAAGATAGACATAAAATTTAAAGCAACCAACTATAATCTTCTGTTATCATTGAAGGGATGCAATTTCCACTAAGTATTGTCTTAAAAAAAATGCTACAAACTAGTGATACTGCAATATGATTAAATGGAATTTTGAATTTATCATTCCACTATCTAAAAATGATCTGCGCACATCAACAGAGCTGAAGGCAAGGCATTGCTCCAGGATACACACGTGTGTGCTCCTGGCCTGCCTCTGCAGTGTGCAGTTTAAAGCTGTTGCTACATGTTGTCAAAGATGGTTAAACATTGCAGGAAGGAATTCTATAGAACCCTGATCAAACACTACTCAGTGAGAGGGAAACATTACATGTCTTTGTTTGACTGTCACTGATACATGACAATATGCCTTCTCTGGGTTTATTGGAAATAATATTAACTTTCATACTGATTTCTGTCTTTCAGTGCCATAAAATCACACACACCCAAGCAGAAAAGCAGTAGAGCCATAAAACAGAATTCAGTTTTAAAGGTTCATCATATATTTATTTGTCTCAGCTACATGCTTTCAAATGTATATTGGCTTCTGTTTTCTACAGCTCCAGCATTCCCTCCACTCAGTGTTAGGAGGCTCTGTAAATGCAATCAACTAGTCTTGAAGAAGAAACACAGAGCGCATAAAGAAAATAGGATAATATCTCAGCTAGAGGGCTCCATATGTTGATGGCAATGCACAGTACACGGAGGAAAAAATAGGATTAGAATTGTTCTAAGTACCTATGAACCACCCCGAGTACAAGGAAGGAAATAACATTTTCTAAATGTACAACATGATTCCAAAAGTGCAGGTGAAAAATCTTTATTTGAACATATGCAGAGGGAAAGCTGAGGTTGAGCTGAAATGAGAGCTATGCGCTATTTTAATTTAAAACTGCTACAATCCTGCCAGAAACTAGCATGCCTCACAAAAGGCCAAGTCTTGAGCACCCTCCCAATACAAAGTCCACAACCAGCAAAAGTGTAAATACCAGACTCATGTAAATAATAATGGCTGGTAATTCAGCAGCAGGTTTCCTTTCTAAAAAGTAATTACAAGATTTAGTTTAATGTTTCCATTACAGTGTGAATGGTTACTAGGGTTGAATTGATGTTGCCTAGTTATGTTTAGTTCTCTCCTTCAGTACAAGTGATTGGAAGAGAAAAGGCACAAAGGAAAGGATGCTCTCTTGTAAGACATGACATGTCACACTGTCATCTAATGAGTCTATGACATTAAACAAATCCCCAAAAGTTACACCTCTGTACTGAGGCACGATTCACCTGGGCAGTAATGAATCTGGCTTGCTTTTTGCTTGGCACTAGTTCAAGTGATGTTTGTAAATCATTGCCATGTTGCAGTCTAAGGATGAGCAAGGACTTCAGTGTAAATCTGTTCCAGTCTTGTGCTTTTGCTGACATTTTCTTTTTCATTCAACCCCAAAATGTATCAGCTTGTGTTTCTAGGCAGTAGAGGGAACTGTCACTCTCACACTGCAGTCAAAATATATCATCTTACTTAAACTGATTTCAAAAGCAACATGCCATTAAAAAAGAAGAAGAAGATGAGAAGAAAGCAAATAAAGTAGTGGAACACCTGAAAAGAATAGATGTTTAATAAGAAAAAATAAAGTAACTGTGTTTCTTACATAACATGTTTCCAAACCTCTGATAAAATCACTGGGCCAAATCCTCAGTCAGATTTTACTGAGGACTAGTCTACATACAGCACTGCATCAGTGCAACTGCCCCATTCTAGCACTGGGTGAAGATATTACCTTTGCCAATGTGAGAGATTCTCCCATTGGTGTAGTTAATCCACCTCCCTGAGAGGCAGTAGCTATTTGGAGGGGAGAAGCCCTCCTGTTGACATAGCACGGTCTATAGTAGGAGTTTGATCAGTATAATCGCATTGCTGGCAGGTACCAATTAGGTCTGAAGTTTAGACCAAGTCTCAGTTTGACTATCCGGACACATCAGACTTATTAAAATAAATGTGATATATTGTATCCCACCACAAGAAATCATTATATTGCAAGAGAAGGATAATGCTAGTGGTTAAGTGCACAACTTGAATTCAGTCTGTCAAGAAAGACTTCTGCCTCCCCTGAATTTTTAAGTCATGTAATCTTTCAGTTTAATAATCCTTTAATATCTGTATGGCACCCCATAGAGTATCTCAGAAGTGAAGTACTTACATATACATGGGCTGTAGCTGTAAATGAGATGTCTTCTGTGGGCCTTGATAGCCGTAAGAGTCAAATCCACCTATGAAGTCAACTGAAAGAGGGGGAAATTGCTTCCATTAGAAACATCTTTTCAAAAATAATAGGCACTATCACACTGATTGCATTGGACAGACCTCCTAATAATCTATCTACTAAAATTAGAGTGATTAATTGTACATAGGGTAGGTGGCAGGTGAATGGGAGAAGAGAGGTAGTGTCTTCAGAAACAATGAGGGATTTATAAAATCCTTTTACACTATTGAGAATTATACATCACTCTTTTCTCAAGCAGACCACATGATTGGAATATAAAATTACATTTTATTTTGATACGACAAATGATGTAAATCATTTATTTGTTGGTATGGATGCAATGCTACTGACTGTGATTACTGTGTCAAGCTCACTGACATACTGTGGTTCAATGGTCTAGAGGAGAAAGGATATTGATCCTATTCTGTTTGAGAGACAGAAGTTTCTCTGATTCCCTGCTTTGACATTTGGGTTGAAATGCAGAGAGAGAGAGGCTGAGAACAATTTATCCGAGCATTGGAGAGGGCACTTCACAGTTCTAAAGATACTCCAAATATAATGGAGGTCTGTGAGTGGGGGTTAGTTTTTAACTCAAACACTGGCTATCTATGTTTATTTATTTTATAAAATCATATGCAGCAAAGGTGGGCAATTTCCAGCCCGGGAGCCAGATCCTGTCTGCAAGGTTAATCCCTGGCAGGCCCCCACCTCTATGTTTACCTGCGCCACTGCAGATATCAGACAATCAAAACTCTTTATGGCTGCAAATTGCTGTTCATGGCCAATGCGAGCGGCAGGAAGCGGCGAAGACTGGGATGCTGCTTCCCCCCACTTGCATTGGCCACAAACGGTGATCCATGGCCAATGAGAGCTGCAATTGTCCAACACCTGCAGAAATGTAGGTATACATAATGGTGGTGGCCTGCCAGGGTTAGCCCCTGTTTTTTATTGCCCACTCCTGATAGACAGTCACATTCAGTTCTGAGACTTCCAGTTTTCCATACTCAAATACTTTCTTTTATATGTAATATGAGGTCTTTGTGTCTCACATAACTGTAACCCACATATACATTTGGATGCTATCTTCATGCAATCTTCTAACCTACACATTGTACGCTAGAGAGGCATGAATAATTGGATCTACTTCTATAGGAGAGACTGAGAGATACCTACCCTCGAGTAGCCTATAGTCTGGTGTTTAGAACCTGCTCAAGAGCAGGAATTAGAATCTGCATTTTCCACATCTTAGGTGAGTGCCTCAACTATTGAGCTATTAGGTAAAAAGGGACAAGAAGTCCTGTAGCACCTTTTAGACTAACAGATGTATTGGAGCATAAGCTTTCGTGGGCAAAGACCCACTTCGTCAGATGCATGCACGTCTTCGTCTTTGCCCACGAAAGCTTATGCTCCAATACATGTGTTAGTCTAAAAGGTGCTACAGGACTCCTTGTCGCTTTTGCAGATCCAGACTAACACGGCCACCCCTCTGATAGGTAAAAAGGGAGCATCTCCCATCATTGTCATTTTGTTAATGTACCCTAAATTCTATTGTGTATCTTGCCTGAAAATTAAGAGAGATTTGACATTTAGATGACCCATTTGGATGTTTCCATTTTTTTGTTTTAATTAAATCAATTACCAAAATATATATGCATACATGAAATGATTTGACCCAAATCTGCATTTTTTCAGCAAAATAAGTTTCAGCTAAAAAATTTCACCTAGCTTGAGTGCAGGGATGGGCATTAAATGGCAGTGGTTTGCCAGGATTAACCTCTGGTGTGCCGCCCCTACTATATTTACCGGTACCTTCACAGACACTGGTAATTGCAGCTCCCCATGGCTGCAGAACACCATTCCTGGCCACTGGGAGCTGTGGGAAGTGGCATGGATCAGGACACCTTTTCCCACAGCTCCCCTTGGCCAGGAACAGTTATCCATCATCAACAGAAACTGCAATCACCCTCATCTGTGGAAGCACAGGTAAGTATAGTGGTGGTGGCGCACTAGGGCCTAACCCTGGCAAACCACTGCCATTTTATTGCACAGGCAGCTAACTCTGGTGGACCAGATCTGGCCCACAGACTGGTATTTGCTTACCCCTGCTCTAGTGTATACCACTTTGACTTTACTTATCAAAAGAGAAGCCAAACCTGCCAAGTTCAGATTTGGAACTCTGTTTACCTTAAATACTGAGATTCCCCTAAGCAAACTGTGATTCTGAAGGTATCTGCATGCACCAGAAAGTAACATACTACTCTCTAATTATATGACTGCAACAATAAAATTAGAGTTCACGTGTTATTCCTTTTATAATTCACAAATCTTTATTTGAGAGCTTTCACAGTGGACAGATTACATACGGCATTTCACAACACATTATTATGAAGAGCTTTTGCTCTAAGATAAACATTAACATATAATCATACTTACACATACACATATCTACTTTCCAAAAACTCTGAACTACTGTGTTCGTAGGGCCATACCCTTCCCTTTATCCACACAAGATCTGGGCATGAGGCCACCAGCTCTTAGAAAACTCCAATTAGTACAGAATACTGCAGTACATCTCCTTAGCAACACAGCCTACTGTGAACACATCAGGTCTGTCCTTTACTCTCTACTCTGGCTTCCCATAGAATATTGGGTCAAGTTCAAGGTCTTGAGACTTATCTTCAAGGTGCCCAATGGTCTGGGCCAGCATATCTAAAAGATCACCAAAAGCTCTAGGCTGAAGGCCTTTGTCAACAACTTTTTTCCTCTGGCACAATGGTGCTTTCATCCATAAGGGTAAAGCTCATCTTTACAAGAGACCGAACTTGCTTGGTGCTTGGCCCAAGAACTAAGGATTATTTCAAACCTCGCCATCTTCCACTTTAAGAACAAGGCAAAGTTCTTCACTTTTCCTTCTCTAACATAAACACATAATAGTATGTAATTAAAAAACAAAACCAAGCAATTATATACCCCCCTAGCCAACACTCAAATCCCTTTCAAAACAAAGACATACTACATTCACAATTCTTCTCAGGGATGCTCTGAGGAAGCTGTGTGGGGGCGATAGGCAAGGGCTGGGGAGTGGCTTGGCCTCGAACATTGGTGGATCTGGCCCTAGTGCTCTGAATATTGGTAGAGCGCTGGTACCACAGGCCCATACAACATGCCGCCTATGTTTGTGACATCATAGTTATTATCATAGGAAGAGACATAAGTAATGAACACAGGATTGAGATTTTAGGAGATGGTTGAACTCTTATTCAACACAGATATGGGTGACTCAGGTCTTTGCCGATACATCTTGTAGTGAATTGCCTTTGATATAAATGCTCTCTTTTTCAGCCTTGACCTTCTGAACAAAGAATTCAGAAAACAAGCAGTCTGGGCTAGATCATCCACTGGTATAAATCAGCATAGCTCCGCAAGCTTCAACAGAACAATGCCAATTTAAGTCAGCTGGGGGACTTGTCCCTCTGTATAGTGTGTGAGTGCTTTCAGAGGCATGTTGTAACATAAAATTTTACCTTGTAAGTAATGACAAAATTACTCTAATGTCACAGGCAGGAAAGCTTTGTTTTGAAGACACAAGAAGAAATATCCCAAAGGGAGTTTCTAGGTCCTTTTCCAGAAAGCTAAAGCAAAACATTCAGAAACAAATTCCCAGCAATAAAAGGAATTTGTATGGGGTCAGTAAAAAAAAAGTGTGCTTATTATTTCTGCATGGCAGTGTGTCCCTGTCTTTTGCTCTCTTGCACAAAGGAAACTCAGTGTATAAGCAGGCCAGAATACCAAGTGACATAAACAAGATGGGCCTGTAGAGCGAGCTCTGTTTTAAGCAGACATTAGAGACTCCCCACTTGTATATCCAGATGACGGTAGAGGAGAGAGTATGAGGTAGGGGAGAGAATATGACTGTGACCTTGTTAAAGCCTACAATGGCTCCTCACGTACCTGCAAGTGAACTGGGAAGTGTGTGCAGGGGTTAATGCAATATGAACTCTGCTGCAGAGAATGTCTATAATTTCTTTGCAGCACCTTCATTGTGGCAGCATTTCAGTGCTGCCAAGCCCGTGGTGCCTAGACTGTGCTAAAAGCTCCCTATGGATTTTGAGTGAGTTTCTCAAAGTATGCAAAATGCTGCCCTTTTTACTGGGCATTTTATCCTGGCTGTGCCTAAAAGGTCACTAAAAGTGTCATACCACTGATACATTCCTGGCAGCAGTAACATGAGATGAATAAAATAAGCCTCATTAGTTGAATCATTACAGATGTTTCAATTCCTAACCTTACCCATCAAACACATTTTTTGCCTACTATATTTTACTTTAATCTTGTATATCATCATTACAAAACTCAGGCCTTTAATCATGCTTTGCCTTCATAAACACACACACACAATCCTGCTTACATACCATCTCAACAGATGAAACATACTGGGAGGCTTGCTTGAACTCTGGAAGTGCTGCTATAATTTATTTCTAAACATTTAACAATGAAAATATCACTTTCATTTTGTGAGTCTGAATTTATTTCTTGACTCACTGATACTAACCTCCTCTTGGTCAGGAAGTCAAGTTTACAAAACTATCACCAACTCTTTCTAGGACATAACTGTGGAAGTCATGTAATTAAAATAGGTTATAGTTCAAAATAATGGGCCTATTTTCTATTAATACGCCCACCCAGGACCTGATCTTGCAGCCCTTGCACATAGTCAAAACTCCCACTGAAGTCAATGGAAGCTTTGAACACATCTCAGCCTGCAGGATGGGATTGTAAGTCTAAAGTTGGTATTCAGCTTCAGTTGCTGGAAATTTGCTGATATGCAAATGAACCTGAACAGAAGAGGCCTCATTCATATCAAAGAGCGAGGCGTCACTACCAAGACCAGCAGTGAGGAACAAAGAAATAGATAGATAAGTAGGCAGGAAAGAATGTGGCATAATGTAGCAAAATGATGCTCATGCAGAAAAAAAAGGAAGAATATTAAAAGAAAAAGAAATCAGGTGACTGGCCATC